TTCCAGCCAATCCCAACCTCTTTTGACAATCACTGCTCGGCTGTGTATCACCACTGACTAGCTTGGCCTAGTGTAGAACTTTGCAAAATAAAAACAAAGTATATTATGTCTGGCTCCTTTCATTCAATTTGTTTCTGAGATTCTTCCATATTGTTTTGTGTATCAGGGGTTCCCTCATTGTAATTACTAAGTAGTTTCAGTCACTCTCCCAATGGTGGGCATGAATTGTTTCCAGTATTTGACTATATCAGTTAAGTTGCTATGAGCATTCTTTAACAAGTCTTTTATAGACATGTGTTCTGGTTTATCTTGAGTATCACTGCAGGTATGCATTTAACTTTATTTTTTAAATGCCAAAATACTTCCCAAAGCAGCTACACCATTTATACTCCCACCAACAGTATATGAGCTCCAGTTGCTCCACAAAATTTTAGTGCTGTCACTTTAATTTTAGCCATTCTAAAGGGTATACATGGGTATCTTTTTATCTTCTTTTCTTTTTGGTAACAGGGTCTTATTGTATAGCATAGGCTGGCCTCAAACTGGTGATCTTCCAGTCTCCTCCACCTCCCAAGTACTAGGCTTACGGGTATGCACCATCACTCCCAGCTCCAGATGTCTACTATAGTCTTTTATGTTGATAACTGCTCTGCTAAGATAAAATTCACAAGCAGAGTTCACACACTGCAAGTGCACAACTCAATGGATTTTGGCATATGTATTACATTAACTTTTTTAATTGTGGTAAGAGACATACATAAAATAAAACTTGCCATTTTGACCTTTTTAAGTCTACAATTCAATGGCTTTAATGCCACCTACAATGGTATAATCAACAAACTATTTTTCCAAAACTTTAACTCCCAAATAAGAAATTCTGTGACCAATAAGTATTAACCCCGATTCCCCCGTCCCCAAAACCTGGCAACCTCCAACCTCACGGTGTTTAGAAATATGCCTATTCTAGGTACTTCATATTATCTAAATAGGATAAATTAAAAAAACAAACAAACACCAAATATCTCTGTGCTCACAGGTCTTCCGTTCTGGAAGGAGACAGACCAAGAGAGCACTATAAATAACTACACAGCACGTCAAAATATAATAAATGCTTTAAAAAAGTTTTAAGACAAAGGGGTTCAGAAGCATGAATGGGAGCACTATTAAACAGGGTATATAACTTGAAAGAAAACAGAAAACTTTGGCTAAACACAGAAGAGAGAGGAAACATAAGCCAAACTAACATATCTGGAAAAAAATTACTGTTTATGTGAATAAGAAAAAGACCACAGAAGTACAATGTAAGAAGTACATTGTTAAGAAGTAAGTTATGTAAAATAACAGCAATCCCACAAGAATGTGTTAGTGTCTGCTATTAACAGACTAAGTGCTAGCTGCTAGGGATGCAGTGAATGGGACAGGGTCACTTTATTTAAGGTTATCAGAGGGAGGAGCAATGAAGTATCAATATAAGTATAAGAAAAACTTACAGAAAATACTATCAAATGACACATTATTTCACGAACACTCAAGAACCAGATCATAATCTTCCCTACAGAAGAAAATAAATTATGGACAGCACCAAGCAACTGACATTTCTGAAAATGCCACAAGCAGCCACTATACACTTAAAATGTGATTAATACAACTACTGAACTGAATGATTAATTTTACCTTTTAAGTGGAATTTAAATAACCACATGTGACTAGTGGCCACTTAATGAACAGCTCAGTAGAGAACAGGAAAATCTTGCTTAGCTCTCAACTCTAATTATGGGGTCTCAGAGGCCTTAGCAATACATCATAAAGGCAACCATGGGCTAAAACATAAATTTTTATTTGTATTTCACTTTTATCCTTTTATTTAACACATCCCGCAAAAACAGGGAAAAACACTTGCAAAACAAATGTGAAATATGCAAGTATCCAAAGTAGACACAAAACAAATTTAGTTACAAAACAAAATAGGTAAGAATTTTCTCTACAGAGAAGAAAAAGCTAAGAAGTATCTTAACGCTGACACTATGTAACCATAAGCATTTTTTAACTAATTATAGTGACTACAATACTATTCAAGAAGCAGGCTACAGAATCTGACCAGAGCATGAAAAATGTAGGTTGTATGAATGATTTATTGCTACAGCAAATTACCCCAAGATTTAGTAGGTTAAAACAGTAACATTTACAACCTCATACACACAGGTCTGTGGGTCAGAAAGCTGAGAGTGGCTCATGGTGTCTCCAGAGGCTGTGACAAATTCTGAAGGCTTGCCTGGGACCAAGAGGACCCACTTCCAAGATGGTTCATCAATGGCTGTCATCAGGAGGCCTGTTTCTCACACAAAGCTCTCTACAGATGGACAGGACCTAACATGGTAGCAGGCTTTGTCTAAGTGAGTGATCCAAGAGAAAGAGGAAGCTGCAACACATTTTATGACCTAGTCTGAGAAGCCAGTCACTTCTGCCATATTATACCCCTCAGAAGCAAGTCATTAACTTCAGCCCACACTGAAGGGGAAAAAACTAACCTCCGCCTCCTCCTTCTCCTAAAGGACAGAGTCAAAGTACTTATGGAAACATTTAAAAACCATTTCAGCTGTGGTGTTACATGCCTGTAATCCCAGCTACTTGGAAGGCAGAGACTGGGAGGATCACAGTTTGAGGGCAAACCCAGCAAAAGAGTTCTGAAGATTCCATCTCAACAGATAAGCTGGGCATACACATCTGTCATTCCAACTACAAAGAAAGAATAAGTAGGAGGATCAAGGTCTGAGGCTGGTGAAATCCTATGCAAAAAACAACTAAAGCAAAAAGGACTGAGGAGCAAGTGATAGATCGCCTGCCTAGCAAGTGTGAGGCCCTGAGTTCAAACCCCTCAGCACCACAAAAAAAAAAAAGCCACTTACAATGGGATGTTAAGAATTTTTACTTAGATCCTGGAATTCCTTTCTCTGTAAACCTCAAAAATAGAATAAATTATCATCTTCAATAACAATCTTCAATTGTTTTCAATAAAGTAGGCAGGAGGTTAAATACAATTGGGTTCTCGGTCACTAACACGAGGTTATTTTTTAACAGAGTCTAAACAAAGGGTATCTAGTATGCATACACCAGTGCTACACGTATTATAGATTCTTAAAATAATCCTGCAAAGTGGCAATCATCCCTTTTTTAAGATGAGAAACAGGAAGTCTATAGAGCTAAGCAAAAACATATTCAGGTCTACATGGTTCCAAAGCCACTGCTCTTTCAACTAAACGATGGTGCTACCAGGTCAGCCACAACAGAATCTTGTCTTACAGCTTCAAAGACCTGTATTTTAGGACCATAAAGTACATTAATTCTAAGACTTTTTTTTTTTTTTTTTTTTTTTTGGCAGTAATGGGTTTGAACTCAGGGGTTCACACTTGCTCAGCAGGTGCCCTACCACTTGACCACTCTGCCGGCACTTTTTTTGTGGTGGGTACTTTCAAGACATGGTCTCAGACAAAGTCTCTCAAACTATTTGCTTGGGGTGGCCTCAAACCATGATCCTTCTGATCATTGTCAGGAGGGTGCCAACAGCAACCTGCTCTTCTCATCTTTTGTTTCACCAACAAAGATGTGAAGAATTACTTTCTAGGTTTCCTCACTCTTGTTTGCGCTGTCTGGTGTTTCCTACTTGCCTCTTTGAGGGCTCATTTTGGAACAGACCCATTACGCTGTTTCTTTTAATCCTCTCTGCAGGTCTGCAACATCAGTATATGGTCTCTTCACAAACACTGTTCTTTCTAGCTAGCCCTCACATTTACAGACAGTAGCTACAGGCCTTTCTGGCTCACCAATCTATCCCATGGACCCACAAGCTCCTTCTTGTGCAGAACTCCATAATGATTTGGTGTCACATTCATTTTTCTATCCTCAGCCCCCAGCAAAGATACTCAATAAATGGTTGGTGCCTGAGGTACAGGTCCCATATTTACAGACATGCCTAAGAATTAAATTAACAGATCTCCCAATAGGGTCTTATCAAGTTAAGAGTCTGCCCAAACCCCAATTAGTGCCCTATCAGCAGCTCCACTCTTCCAACAGTGATTGGAGGTTGGGGAAGAGCTCAGACCAGTATCTATTTTCAAGGGAGGAGCATGGTCTAGTGACCATCTGGACCCACCCAAGACTAGGTGTTCTTTCCTTCTATGCTCTCTGCCCGTACCCCAGGACTGCATGTTACCTTATCTCCCTACAGGAGAACAAGGTCTTCTTCTTCCCACTTCATCAACCAGCACACAACCTGGTACATGGGGGACCACCAATGTACTCGGTGATGATGCTACTTAGATCCTATGTACTAGACATGCTCTCAGATTTTAAAATGCATTACCTCATTTGATCCTCAGAACCATCCCACGGGAGGTCCTGGTCAACATTACTTCCATTAAGCAGAAGAGAAAACAGACCCAGAACAGAACAAAATCAAACAAGCACTGAGGGGTCGGGGAACGTCACTTCATATTTCCACATGCTTTATTTCATCCAGAAATGAGGTTATGCGTTATATTCCCACTTTCAGCCCAGAAAGCTAAAGCTAAAAGAAAAAGCCCAACAGAAATCCAGGTGCCCACCAACCCAATCCCCCACGTGCCAGGCTGCTGGGCGCCTTCCCCTTGAGTCTCAGTGGCGGGGGCAGAGCTGGACGCGCCTCTCCTGCGGTGTAACCAACGCTGCCCCTGGGCGGCGCCGAAGCCTGGGCTGCCAGCGGGACAGAAAGGGTGGCGACCGCGCGACAGGCTCCGTGTTACGGGTTTCCGCCGCAAAGCGCTCGGCGCCTCACCGACGGACAGACGGACAGCGCCGAGGGCCGACACGGCCTCGCCCTCCGCCCCCGCCTCCTCCTCCTCCTCTTGCCCCGCCCCCGGCCACGCGCAGGCCTCACCCGCCCCCCGCCAAGCCCCGCGCCGGAGTGCGGTTCCGGCCACAGCCCACCCCCCAATCTCCGCCCGGGGCACCCCCGCGGCCGTTACCGATTCCGCTGCTCCTTGAAGAGCGCCGTAAGCGCACGGAGGGCCTCCAGGTCCTGGATAGGCGCCGGCACCATGACGCCCGACAGCCGGGCGGGCGGCGGCCTGGGCGCCGCCATCTTGCCGCTCGCAGCTCGGTCGAGCCGGGCGACGAAGAGAAAAGGCGGAGAAAAGGGGATGAGGCGCGGAGAGCGAGGAGGCGAGAGAGGGGCGCAGGAGCGCTCAGCCCGCGCGGCCGCCGCCGCCGCCACGCAGCCCGCGCCGCCCTGAGGCTGCGCCGCGAACAGGGCGAGGCAGAGCAAGCTCGCCTCGGGCGGAGGACGGCGCGGCGGGGGAGGGGGCGCCGCCGGAAGTCCCGCCTGAGGGGAGGGGGCGCCGCCGGAAGTCCTGTGTGAGAGCGGGGAGGGAGGCTGGGGGTCGTCTGGGAGGTGTCCGGGAGAGGGCGCCACGTGAGGTCGGGGGGCGCAGCAGAGGCTCCCCACAGCCGAGGGGATGTTGAGCACAGAGGGGGCCAAGGGAGGGGGCTTAGGGCCGTCCCCCTCCCCAGGAAGCAGAGGGGGCTCATGGGAGGGGGCCTGGGAAAGGACTCCTGCAGAAGGATGCGGACCGAGGAAGCCCGTGGGAGGATCCCGGAGACAGGGGCTCCCCCAGAGGGAATGCTGGGCAGAGGTGGGCCCATGGAAGGGGTGTAAGGCAGAAGGTCCTCCCTCCTCAGGGGAGGACATACCAGAAGAGAGGAGATCTTCCTGGGAGGAAATGGTGGCTGGGGGACCTGGGGAGGGGCCGGGCAGAGACTCCCACTAAGAAGGCCATAAACATTGATCCTGCCTTTTAGTTGGGTTGATTGGTACCCTCCTCCATGTGGAGCAATCTATCACCAGCTGGCAAGATGCAGACCCTGAACGTTCAGTTCGCCATGCTTACTGATCATGATGAATACCAGGTCACTTGCCAAGCACCCAGCATAGGGTGAGAACACACTGTTCCAGCTCATCAAGGATTTAAAACACAATTAGGAGTCAAGAAGCTAAATTCTACAACAGCAGGGTAAGACTATTCTAAGGGAAAGGAACATATTTTACAGGAATCATACAAGGCTTCTCTTGCTGGTGTTGATAACCCACATATTTTCTTTCCACCCCTTACTAGAAGCTTTTTTTTTTTTCTAACAAGAATTGTTGCCAAACCTTGTGCGAGGTGCTGAAGATACATAGATCAGTAAGAGATGGTTTCAGCCCTGAAGGCTCTCAAATTATTGAATCCAGTTAACAGCTGTGATAGAGGACTGTACAACTTGCTGTGGGGGCATTTAAAATACGTAAATAGAACCCGACATTGCAATTGAAGACTTCATAATGGAGTGGGTTTATAATGTAGCACTTTTGACATTCTTTGCTAAATAAAATTTAAAGGCACAATAAACACCACCAGAATATGCAAGGTAATAAACTGAACGAGCAAGTTACTTGATGGCACCACTCAGTCTTTCCCATTTCATTGACTTCATGTTCATTCATCCCACACATATTCTGTGTCTACTAAGTATCAGACATTAGATTACCTTTCAGTGCTCAAGACTTTAAAGTGGTGAACAGTCCTTAGGCTAGCAGGGCAAAATCTGCCAATTTTTCCTTTCAGGAGCAGGGGATAGTAAAACACATGCATGGAGGACTTGACCCTTAGTTTTCTAACCTCTATTGTAAAGCAAAACTACTCAGTCTTACAGAAAACATTCCCTCTTAAGTTCAGGTTTCCTGATGGGATTATTGCAATGAACTCATTATTGGTCTCTTCTCTACATTCTAGAACATTTAAAAAATATGTCAACATTTCATTCAACTCAAAACCCTCCAATGTATTCCAGAGGCAGAGATCTGGAAGCTAGCAGTTGGGGGTAGGGAGAGTTAGTAAGAACCCTATCTTAACTGGTCCATGTCTGTCATCCCAGCTATGCGGGAGGCATAGGTAGGAGGGTTGTGGTCCAGGACAGCCCCTGACAAAAGAGTGTGAGACTCTACCTGAAAAATAACTAAAGCAAAAAGAGTAAGAGCTGGGAGTGTGTCTCAAGTGATAGAACACCTGCCTAAAAAATGTGAAGCTCATACCATCAAAAAAAAAAAAAAACCCTCTCATGGATTTCCATTTCACTTAGAATACAGCCAAATTTCTCCCAATAGAAAACCCCCTAAATGATCTGCTTCCTCCCTCCAGCCTACTGTGATCACATCTGCTCAGCTCTTCCTCCTCCATTGCCTCCGTTGTGTTTAAGCCTCACTGACCTCCAGAGAAATGGCCCACCTGGCAAAGAACATGTATGCATAGAACACCTTCTCACGAATTTCTGCAGCTTTTTGTTTCCTTCAACTCTCTGCTCAAATAAGATCTCTCTCTCTCTCTCTCTCTCTCTCTCTCTCTCTCTCTCTCTCTCTCTCCTTTCCTCCCCCTCTCCTACTTTTTTGTTTCTTTTTGAGATGGGTCTTGCTGTGTAGCACAGAATGGTCTCAAACTCCTGTGATCATGGTAGGCCCCCGCCCCACCTCAGCCTTTTGAGTAGACAGGTGACAGGTGCACACCACCACAACTGGCTCAAGTGATTTAATGAGCTTCCCTGATCAATCTATCTAAAAGTAACACACCACCCAAATCCTTGATCCCCAGTGCACTTAACACTTTCTATGTCATAGTTCACTGCTAGAATAGAGATTTTGATCTCTTTTGTTTACTTTTTTATCTCCAGCTCAGCAACTAGAAAAAGACTTACTGTGTGGTGATGACTCAATAAATACTTATTGAATTATGGACAAATAATCTTTTAAACATACTGTATTTTCAGAAAGGATAAAGGACATAGCATGCATCCAGAAGAATTTCAACAAGCCAAAAACTGCAGGAAAGAGGGAGGATGGCAAAAGAAGAAAAGTCACAAGAAGATTTAAAAAGACATTAAGAGGACAGGAAAAAAAAAGTATAAGTATGGGTAAGAGAAGCAAAAGGAAATTAAACTGGGCAGACAGTGGGTGATATTGACCATTCAGAATCAACTAGAAAAACTGATGGAACCGAGTTAATATTTCACTTGGGTTCACTGGCATCTTTTAATGTCATTATGTAACTGTTCGCCTTAAGCAAAGCAGACTGAACATGCCGCCAGGTTGATGTACAAGAATTAAACCTCAAATGCAGTTTGTGACATAAATTTGTGTCTCCTGCATCTCACTGTCTCCTGCATTTCACTGCAGAAGACATGAATTAGCAATCATTTAGGAATCAAGAAAACAGTAAATTAAAATAAAAAATATAGAGGGCGGGGGGGGAGCAAAAGGAAGGAGAGAAATTTAAAAAGGAGAAATCAGATGAGAAAGTAGGTAAGGTATGAGGCAAAACAGACTTGGACCAAAGAGCAAGTGGTTTTGGCAAAGAAAAGAGAGGAAGTGAGTGAATACTGGACTGGTAGAGAGTGGATAACGAGTGGCAGGTAGATAGAAAAATTCTGGATTGTGCAGGATCCTATATCTCCAACTTCTCACTGCACCTCTGCCTGTCGTTCTGTCACTAGAAAGCTCATAGACCAGCTACTCCACAAGCCCTCCTGTGTCACCAGAAAATCTCAAGTCGGTCGATGCCTCTCTTTTGGCTTTGACATTCCAGAGTCAGCCTTCCAGTACTGATGTGTTTATGCACTTGTCTTCCACACTTGAGGTTCTTAAGGCAGGGACTCTGTCTGCATCTCAGCCTCATGCCTGGAGCAATGCTTATAAGTATTTCTTGAGCTAAAAATGTGGGGGGATTAAGAAAAAGAAAAAATAACAAATTGTATAATTATTCAGTTCAAAGAACCTATGAACCAACTCTTTCCTGCCACCTATTTTCATTAATAAAATTATATTGAAAACAGTCACTGTCATTCATTTACATATTGTCTATAGCTACTTTGGCCCTACAATTGCAGAGTTGAGTAGTTGTGGAGACCAGATGACCTACAAAGCCTAAAATACTAACTGTTTGCTCCTTCATGAAGGAGGTTTGACAGCCTCTGGGAAAGAACAGGAGCTCTGGAGTCAGACCTGGGTAATGTGTATTTTGCTTTCATCTGTCAGCACTTGACCTTGCATCATCTCATTAAGGCTTCAAAACAATAGCCATCTCTTTGGGGGTTTTGGTTTTTTGTTTTTGATTTTGGCTTTTAGTGGTTTGAACTCAGGGCCTTTCACTTGTAGGGCAGGTGCTTCAGCCACACCCCCATCCCAAAAAAGTAACCATCTCAAGCATTTTTTTTCTTTTGTAAAAATAATAATAGTACCATACCTGCGTGACTGGGTTGTTGGGAGTCTATGTCAATCCAGTGTCTGTCAGATATTTAGTTTAGCCTATTTCGTGTGACATTGAGCCACGTATGGTATGAAAATGAGCAGGTAGAGGGACAACGTGGGCAAGTTAGAAACACTAGGGATCAGGTAGAAAACTCCCATCAGACTCGAGAGAGAATTGCTATAGGTGACTGGCAATACACTACTGGTATTCAAGGAGATAATATTCTGACTTCACTCACAACAGTCCTGTGTCGGAACCAACGATTTCTATATAATTTGTGAATTATTAACCTAATTCCTTACAGTTGCTACCAAGTCATCATTAATTTTATTTTTCATACTTTGATTTAGCCAACTTTTTTAACGTGTTGTGGATTATATTTGAATCTAATCTCATAAAGATGAATAAGATAATACCTCAACCATCAGTAAAGTCTGGTTCTATTAAGGGAATGAGAAACTAGAAACATACGCTGATGATACAACATGCCACATATTACCAGGAGAGTATGTACAAGGAACTAGGGGAAAGGTAAAGACAGGTAAAGAAAGGCCACTAGGGAAAACATGTAAGCTAAATTCTAAATGGTTATATGAGCACTAGGTAGGCAAATGGTGGAAGTGCATTCCAGAAAAGGAAGCACCAAAACACAGCCTCAGGCCAGTTGTTTGTAAGGATGAGTTTTACCACATATCAAGAAAAGATATAATTTCTGCCTTATACCAGAAGTTTCAAAAAAATGGAAAAAGTTCCACTTTTGGTGATGTCAGGGTAGGTTATTTAAAGCAATCCTCTGAATGAGTAAAAATCTTTAAAAAACAAACAAATGAAACATTTCAAAAGCCTCCTTTCCACCTAGCTGAAGCATCTTCAGACCTCCACCTATGAGGTGTACCAAACACTTGAGTTGGAATTAAGACAGATCAGCATTGCACGTACACAAATGACAGAAGCAAATGATGGTTTCTTCTTTGGAGGAAGGTGGTGTCCTCCCTATCCAATTATTCCTATAAATCATTGCCAGATACGGTTAGCAACACAAAA